CTTGGTTTGTGGGTTTTAAGAATGGTCTGGTATAGGCTGATGTAACAGCTGATCTTAAACGGTAACAAACTATGTACAGATCATATTATTTTATTTTACTCCAACTTTGCTTTAATATCCACCTCGGTGTGCATTGTTGTCTCAGTAGTCCAGTCGGCAGTTAGAAAAAAGTGGTGTTAGATGGAAAAAGGTCGGAAGTTAATGAAACTTGGGGATAATGTTCAGGGATGATAAATCAACATTTTCATCACTCCTTAACGAAAGTAACTATTTTCGATAACAGCTGACATCAATGAAAGTAGCCGTTTCCTAAGCTCTAATTTAGGGCGAGGGAAAATCGAACAGCTGATTTTCCCTCGCTCTAAATTTACTTTCCCTCGCTCTCAATTAGTTCTCCATTTATTCACTACGCGTGCTAGTGTTTTTTTGCGGTTTAATTTAATGATTTGAATCAGCTGTATGTATTCTTAAACGTTGTTTTATTCTTTTATTTTGATGTTCAAACAAAATTCATTGAGAAATATACGTAGGGATAACGCTAAGTTGTTTGAATTACACAAATCTCTCTGCCATCCGGGAGTCACTCGAATGTTTCATTGGATTAGACATGGCCCCCACATTTAATTGTGGGCCCTGTCACCAGGATCCGGCTCGGGCCCCCCTACCAACCGGGGGGTCGGGGGGGTATGGAATACCCCCCAGCCTAGAGGGGGGGTCCGGGGGTTCTCCCCCGGGAAAATTGTGAAAATGTCATGTATTTTAGTGAGTTTTTAAGGCAATCTAGGTATTAAATTTGTGAGTGGTAAATGGCACTTTTGCAGCCTTTTTAAGGAAGAAAAGAGTTCTTCAATGAGTTTTATAAGACTTAAAATTACAGGAATTCAGCAATTAAAACTATTATATCAATACACAAAAGCTCCATGCCTATTAATATTTTGTCTTTTTTATTTCCCTGTAAAAGGGTTTGGCTATCTTAACTGCTATAATTGTACTTTGTAATATGGAGTAGGAAAAAAACTTACGTAAATCGAGTTTAACAACTTACACCAATGAAATCATATTTTATTCAGTGACAATTTTCATCAAGAATTTTAACAATACTACATTTTTTGGGAGTGGATGCCTGTGAGCTGCCGAACTTGCGCGAGTAGTCACGGAGAAAAACGAATGTGCACGAGTAGTGCCGAGAATGACCGATGCTGTCGATGCCGATGCTATTCAATCCATGCTTTAGACAGTATACCGAGCGAATTGGGAAGAAAACTTAGGTCAAAATTATTACAATCTTTCATATTTTTTAAACTCCAAAAGTAAAGAATTTTTAAGTTTGTGTCAAATAACCTAGATTGCAATTATTAATTGAAATATTCCATACATAAAAGTGCAACCGGGACCAAATGTTGATAAAACGGGACAAATAAGCGTCCCGAGAGGATTTGTCGGGACGGACCAGTCCCCCTAAAACGGGACGTCTGGTCACCTTAGCTATGGTACATAGTACATGTCAATTTTTCAATGCTTTACACATTTTATTTTAACTTATAACTGTAAGGATTCATTCTTGAAACTATCAGTTCAATTATAAAACCAAACTTTGTTTATTATGGAGGGAATGAGGTAGGAGTGGCTAGGCGCCTGGCGGGAGGAAGGGGTAGATGGAGTTTGTGGAGCCGGCCACTGGGGCCCGAGCTGGCTGTTCTGCTGTTGTATAGTACATACGCACCTACGCACCTATAGTATTTAAATATAAACTACCTTAGAATCTAGAATGAATACATTTTCAATTATTTAACTTTGTTTTTTGTAAAATATATATATTATTTTTTATCTTCAATTTATGATCTGCTGTAAAGTGATCTTCAATGGGGAAAAAAATAAAAAAAAAGAAAAAAAATGGGTAGGCCCGGGCCCCCTTAGGGCCCGGGCCCTGTGACCAGAGTTGCACCAGCCCCACCCTTGTGGGGGCCATGGGATTAGAACTAAAAATCTAAACTACACTCTGGATGATGTAAAAAGGATTACGTCAGCTTGTCAAACATGTACAGAAGTGAAGCTAAGATTTCACCAATTCCAAAGCAAATTGATAAAGGCAACCACTCCGTTCGAACGTCTAAATATTGACTTTAAGGGCCCTCTTCCATCAACAACCAGAAACCGTTAAGGACATTAGTTCAGCAACAGTTATCAGATGTTTTTCAGATCTATTTTTTATGTTTGGAGCCCCGTCCTTTGTACATTCAGATAGAGGTTCATCTTTTATGTCACATGAGCTGACGGACTTTTTTCACAAGTATGGAGTAGCTACAAGTCATACGACACCTTATAACCCTAGAGGGAACTCTCAGATTGAACGCTTCAATGGAACAATATGGCGAACCATCCTACTAGCTTTGAAAAACCACAAACTGCCAGTTGCTGCATGGGAAGAAGTATTACAGGAGGCTCTTCACTTAGTCAGATATCTTTTATGCACTGCGACTAACTGCACACCGCACGAAACATTCTTTATACATAGCAGAAGATCTACCAATGGAGACTCCTTACCATCTTGGCTATCTGCTCCTGGTCCTGTCCTGCTTAGAAAGTTTGAAAGATCTAATAAATATGATGACCTTGTGGAGCCAGTTCAACTTATGGAATCAAATCCACAGTACGCTCTCGTCAGAAGAAGAGATGTGTCAGAATCACAAGTATCCCTGAGACATCTTGCACCCGCTGGCCTACCTCCTGGTGATCTACCTCCTGAAGACAACACTACTGAGAGAGAGAATGATGAAAATATAAATTCAGACATTGACCACAATGAAGTTCAAAATGAAACTCAACAAACGGTATCTCAGACCCCAACTTCAGAAACGGCTGTGGGGGAACTACGTCCAAAGAGGAATGTCAAGCCTCCGTCATATCTAAAGGATTAAATATACTATACCTACCTTGAAAAATATTGGGGGAGAATGTGGTGATGTGAACATTATCACCTGATAATATTTATTATTTGATTTGTTTGTAAATATTGTATTTGTTCTTAACTAAAACATGGTTGTAATTTTGAATGAATAAAAGCCATACTTTTGGTTTACTAAGTCTTTCTTACAACAGTTCCCTTGCGCATTCCTTCCTCGGTAAAGATTTATATAGGGAAGGGGTCGAGTTCAAACTTGAAGAGCTTATTTATATATTCCTCAGATCTTTTTGCGATGCAGACACACTGGAAGAGAGTGAGAGGATCTACAGTGAGTTTTTTTACCAGTAATTTTCAACGAGCATGAAACTGAAGTGAGGGTCACGACCTTATCCTTTTGTTTAAGTTTTAATTCTTCAAAATTTTTACTCACAATTTTCTTTATGCATGATATGCCTATCTCCCGTGCTAAGTGACAGTTAACTTCGCTGCTCATATGTCTCTGAGCGAACATCAGTGAAAAATTCTACTTGGTCACAAATTCTTTGAAGCGTGCCTAGGTAGGTGGGATATGAGTATCGAGAGATGGTTCTTATAACTAGGAACCATAATTACTACAAAATTTCGTGATAATTTGTGTTTAACAGAAAAAGTAGGTTGGAATTCTGCTTTTATGCATATTTTGGTGGATTAAAAACATACATTAAAATACAAATACTATTGCTCGGTAACAAATTATCGTACAAACATGTTTAAACTCCAACTGACTTGTTGAAGACAATTTTATTGTTAGCTCTGCGTGGTGAACGGTAGAGGTCGTCTTTTGTTTACAATTTGTTTCTTGTTATTTAAGTAATTTAAAACCTCGTTTGAAAAAAAAAACAATCATAAACAATAACTCGTCCCTTCGTTGTATAACCAAAATATAAAGCACAAAATCATTAAAACCCTAAAACAATATAAACAAAATTGTGTCAACACTAGCGATCAGTTTCACCGGACATAAACTAGACACGAAAAACGAGCTTTAAAATTTACAATGGGATGAGAAGTCTACTTGCGCTGGTTCGTCTACTGTATGCCATAATCATAGATAAAACATATCCACACACCTATTAACCGCATACTTGAATGAGTCGTGTCAGTTAGGTTTTTCAAAAAAACCCTCTCCTAGGGCAGGAACCTCAATTAAAGGGCTGTATCACATTTAAAATATTGAAGATACATCAGCTGTTGGATAAGTTTTTTTAGTTTTTTTTGTTTGTTTATCTTTTCCTTGAGTCACCCTTTTGATTCTATCATAGATTTCTATATTGCATCAATAGAAGTGGCAGTACGTTTTTCTTATATTGTGGGGTAGTGTTCAAACCTTTGAATTCTGTTTCAATTGTTTACTTACTTATTAGTTCAGTGTTATGATAAATATATTTTAAAAACACAGCAATTATTTGTGTTGCAGTCAAATGTTTTAGGCCTCACTTTGAAGTGAACATGAACGGAAAAGGTGAGTTCAGAATGAGCATTATGACGTTTTGTATCGATGTTACAGTATTGTTAATGAAACTGAATCTATTCGATAATAGTTGTAATATAATCAAATCCTTGTCATTTCTTAAAGTGAATATTTGGTTACATAGTTTACTTGTAATGAAACTAGGCCATAAATCAGAATATGCTACGTTTTATGAACTGAAAACCCCTATTATTTATATGGTTTAACAACGTATTATAGATATAGTTTGTAAGTGTTAACACATGGATATTTTCATGCTGTTTTTAATCTCTTGGTATAATTTGATTCTTTCTTATAAGAAAAATAAGATTGCCTATTCATTTACTATAAATTAATAATATCAATTGGTAAGATGTCAATGATAAGAAGATTCTATGGCCTATGGATTGTAGTTAAATTTAGTATTTTTACAAGTTGTTAAAATTTCATTTAGACGACAATATCAATATACTCGTAGATTGTTTTTAACAGTTTTTATTCTCTGATGAATTTTTATGGCGTAAATTCGCCATCATATATTCACGTAGTATTTTACTTCAAGATGTTAGGTAGGTTTTGAGGGTTAAACTAGTAAATAGACAGTAATATAGTTTACATGTGTTTATTGTTCACCCAACGTATATGATAGGGTGATCTAGCATTCAGGTGTCGACACCCTTGTAATTTCTATAAATACATTTTCAATAAATTAAAATATACAAAACACAAATCGAAAGTCAATGTTAGATCGAATACCCTATATCCCAACGTCGAGGAACTTTTAGTGCAACGCCTGTCACTGGTCACAACATAATACTGGTCAGCACTAAAATAAATACGATCGCGATCATTTAGAACTTATATACAAAAATAATTTACTTAAATTAGTCATCATATCACACGAGCTACAACTACGACGGTGAAAGCTTTATACAAATGGTAGGATCTTTGGGAGACGTTCAGACTGATTTGTTCTTGAGTTTGTTGATCGCTGTGTTGAGATGTAGCATCTCAAGGTTGAGCTGTCCCATGAGGTTGTCCAATCTCTCTACACTGTCGAGGATCTCGATCCTCTGTGTGTGAGGGTTGAATCTGACCTCGTAGGGGCGGCTCATCTCGGACACCCAGCGTCTGAACTTCTCCTTGGCGTCCTCGAAGCTCTCGGCGACGTAGTAGATGGGTTGGTATTCCTGGTCCTGGTAGGGTTGGACGGCGGTGACCTGGGGGTCGAAGGGTCGGTGCTCGGGCTTGTCGGAGATGGCGTGCAGAAGTTCTCCGTATGCGGACAACAGACCGGCACCGTAGGCCTTCACCTCACCGTTCTCCTTGCAGAGTCCGAACTCCACGGTGAACCAGTAGACGGTGGACAGCTTCTCGATCTCCTCGTCTGAAGCGCCGAGGGAGGCGAGGCCGATCTCCTGGGAGAACTGGGCGAAGCTCGGGTCTGCGAGGAGTGGCATGTGTCCCAGTATCTCGTGGATGCAGTCACTGCAACATACAACAGATCGTTACAATCAAAGGCTTCTAGGGTCTCACTGTACTTTCACATGATGTTGTAATTGAATGCCTATGGTTATTCTATTTAGAAAGGTATTAGGCATCCTATGTTTTCCTTGACAAAATAATTGAATGAGAAATCTTTCCCACATATAAAAGGTTTGGAATCAGGTAGTAAATTGCCAACGGCCAATTAATTGCGATCCGCAGCATTATTAATTTGAAGTAACATTAAAATACCTGCCAATTTTCAATAAAATACGTAAAATTAAAATTATCCTACAACCTATTTATATATTTGTCGTACACAGAAAATTTTTGCCAAATTCTAACCTTTTTAGGAAAATTTGTTTACAGAATATCATAGCATTTTAATATTTTGTAGATTTTCATGTATCCCAAAATTTTGCGAAAAAAATGTATGTAAATAGAAAAAATAAAGGATAATTTAAACTACAAATTCTGTTTAAGTTCCCCATACACAGTTTGGTTTTAGTTAGTGTAAATAGTAAGTTAAAACAAAGAAGCACATGACTGAGGTAGCGCGAGAGAGAAAGGGGCAGAGAATCGTTTAACAAGAAGGACAAATTACTTGAAGATTGGAGGTGCGACACTGAACACTAACATTATTATAGGGCTAATAGATAGAGAGCTTCCATTAACACTCGACAGGGGCGTAACACGGTTACCTTCCACTCCTTAGCGGACACTGGGATTAAACAGGTGGCAACTTAAAATTTATAAAAAATCCTTTCTGAAAAAAGTTTGTGTTGTTTTTCTCAATTGTTATAAGTGGATTAATTTAATGTAATTTTGTCAACGTAGACCTATTTAGTAAATCAACAAAAGGAAGTTTATAACTCAAATAATAACTTGTCAAGAACAATTCGCGAACTAGTTGACATTTGAACAGTTCTGATTGGATCCTAATACCGAGTCCGCGGGGAGAAGGGATTGACAAAGTGATCAGCTTAGCCGAGAGGGAGATGTTACAGATCACAAGTATTTGTAATGTAATCATTTTGATTTGCAAATGTAAAAGTGTTTATTTTATAAACAAATTTGTATCTAAGTTTAGGAACTGCAAGCTATCACTTAATTGGCAAAAAAGAAAAAAAATATATTTTTCAATCGAACCAAGTATTTTCCCAAAATAAGTCACTTTATTTGGTGATGTAGGTTATCTCATTCTCTTTCTACTACCTTTTACAGTATACAACATGGTTTGGTTGTAATACTTCATCGAATTAACGTATGTCAAATTGGTGCTAATTATTTGCCAGGTGTTTAACTAATACGGACGGACGGTTATGCTACGAATGTTACAAAAATACTCACGGTTCGGGTGTGTGGAAGGGTGACTTGGTGTGACGGACGTACTGGGTGCTCTGGAAGACTCTGAAGGCCAAGCTGGCGAGGAAGTCCCTAGCAGTAAGCAGACCAGCGCAGGGACGCAGAATGAACCCTGTGTTTTTGTTGAGGAAGTCGCTCATGTCTTGCAGCTGAGGGATGCGATTGGGTCCGAAAATGCCTTCCTCCTCCAGCATGGCAAACACCTGGCGGTACTCGGCGCAGAAGTGCTTGGGCATCAACTCCTTGACGTTCTTGAACACCATGCCCCAGGTAGCTACCTCAGTCTCCGTGTAGTCGATGTGGGGGATTGGGTCTCCGTACTTGTAGGCGAAGGCGATGTCGGCGATCATCTTGCGGCGGCCGCGGTACTCCTTGTCGGCGAACCCGGGGTGGTTCATGTCGAGGTCGGGATCGTACTTGGTCATCAGATGGTTGCAGTTGTCCAGATCACGAGCGTGCTTGGGGAACCACGGGTCCGTGATGGACTGACTGTTGTCGGCCAGGAGGGTGACGCCAGCGAGGGCGGAGCTCTGTCTCAGGGATCTGATGAGGAGCAGCAGCGCCTGCTTGGACATGTCTACCTTGACCAGCACGTCGTACTGGGACTCAGCGGTCTTGCCGGGACGACTCTCCAGGTGGACCACGGTGCCGTGGAAGTTCTCGATGGTCTTGAGGATCCTGGCGAGGGAGCCCATGCCTTCCTTAAGGCGCAGCACCATGGATGCCCTCTGGACAGCGGCCTCGACCTCCTTGTCTTCGGACATGGAGTTCTGCAAGATGACCTCCTCCTCGGTGAGTCCGGCATCTGAACACAAAGATACACTTGTTAGACACGCAAAGATCGTAGGGAAATCATTTTTTAAATATCTGTTTCCACAGTAAGATCTCAATGTGTCGATTTAGGAATAACCATAAAAAGTAATGATAAAGAATCTCATAAAATTTGTCGATCAAAGCCATGTAAGCCTATCTAGAACTCACGCTGTTTCAATTCGGCAAATTGTTTCGAATTAAACTTTGCAAAAGTATGAAATCAGCCCATTAAATTGTTTAAGTGTATGGTTTCAAATCGTAAAACACAAAGAATATTGAATGACAAAGTAATTACAATATATCACAATTAAATCAATAGAAAACTCGAGTCTATCAATCATCTAGTTGTAACAGTAGAGCTAATACTCTACTAAACAACTAATATATACCTTGATCAAAATATCTGTTTACTATTTCTTAGAATATTTAAACAGAGTTTTCAAATTTCCGCAGCCAGCCGTGGCCCGAGGGTAAAGTGGTTCACAGATGGTTGGGCAAATTGCGCCTTGGGCCAAAGTGACGGAGGAAGCGCCACAATGGTTCTGAGGGGAGGAAATTGCCCCCTCCCCCCCCCCGCCAACGCCCCCGGTCAAAAGTTGACGGTACTTTTAACTCCATCTCTTATTGTGTTAAGACGAGTAACACGGTTAAAAGTTGTTGAATGATTTCTACTCAAATGCAGAATGTTTTACGCTTTTAGAAGCAGTTTATAGTCACAGTAATGATGTGTCACGTAAATTTTAGTTATTTGAATTATATAGAATTAAATGTATTCTTACCTTTTCCGTTGACCTGAGATTCAATTTTGGGTTGGGCAGCAGGGGCAGCAACTACACAGAAACACGAATCATGCAGACAACAACAATAACAAGCACAAAAATAATAAAAATATAAAACCAAATAATATTAAAAATTTTACTTTAAGAGTGATTAGAACACAAATTGGTAAGGCAACACCTTAATTTATATGGACTGTGAAATTAATATAAAAAAATTCAAAATATATAATTTTAAATAAATATTCGATTTTGGATTTGAGATTGAAAAATTAAGTTCAACTAATAACTAACTGTAAATTAAAGTAAGTTGAGAAAGTAAATAAATGTTTAAAGCATAGATAAAATACACACCTGCCGGTTCGGGAAGGGGTTCCTTCACAATGGGCTCTGCTGTCTTGATTTCTTCATATTCGACTAAAAATAAATGGAAAAAATATAAAAAATGACAGCAAAAAATGAATAACAAAAAAAAGAATTTTAAATAAATCTGAGCAAAAATTATAGCAAAGGTAAATGTATCCTGTTAAAAATTATACGGAATCGTGAAACTGGTAATTTAAGTTTTAATGATATATTTTACAAGATGATGAAATTCAAAAGTAATAGTTGGATAAACAATGAAAATAGGTAACATTACAAAAAGCAATACATTAATAGTTTGAGACGAGTATGTCGAAAAACTTATTTACAAATTTAATTTGATGACAAATAAAAATGGTTATAAGACGAAAATAATAAAATAAAATAAAACTCACCTGACTTTTGAGTCGTAATTTTAGCCTGTTGGACTGCGGGGACGGCAATGCTCTCGTTTTGAGAATCTACAACAGTCATGCAGTTACTATCATGCACATCAAACAAGATGCAAACAATACGAACAAACAAAAAAATGAAATGGTCCAGAAAATGTTGGAATATAAAAGTGAAAAAGTTCACGAATTAGGCAAGGAATGGAAAATTAAATTCACGTATCAACAAGGTTACAGTGAATATTGTCAAATAAAACTTAGGAAAATATATATATTCTATACATCGTAGTATAATAAATCTCCTACTACAAAGGAAACTTTCTAAACCTTTTAGAAAAGTAAATTCATACAAATTTAAGTATATTGATTTTAGAGACAATAAGTAGCCACGTTATTAAAAAGTCTATAAAATGGGCTGGAATTTAATTTAAAATTTGCACAGATAGTTGAAAATTGTATGTGAATTGATTGGTGAAGAACATGAAATAAAAAGGTTTAATTGAACCGTGTTTAAACATCTTCCAGATACTCCAGATATTCCAGATTTTCCTCAATGATAAAATTTTACTCACCATTGGACCGTTGTCTCGCCTCCTCTAGGACAGATTGTTTGGTCTGCTTAACCACGAGTGTCTCGAACCTAGCGTCGTCAACTAGTGACCGGCGACGGGCAGGGTACCCGTTCTGGAACAACAGAAGGAAGTTGTTAGAACAGTCTCTAGGGGGAACCAAGTAAAGTGTTTAGAATGTAAACGTGTTTTACAGTAAACATCTTAAGTTGAAAGTGTATAGGAACTTAAATAGTAGCATGGAATTATATAAAAGTAAATATAACTGAATAACCCATCAATTGGGAGAATATTCGTATGACGTTTTATTTTGCAATATCATGTACGAGTAGGTAATAATTTTTATGTGTATGTACAAAAAATGCGTATTTGAAAGAATATGGGTTTGAATACAGTTAACAGTACTTTTAAAAATACACAATTCGATCTAAAATTAGTGACCACTAAAATGTAAGCAATGATCTAAACAGCTTAGAAAAAACGTAGGAGTTTATTTCCTACAGTGTAACAATATTGTGTTTGAAAGCTGAACCCATCTGGTCGTGATTTAGGTACAAATGTAACGCAGATTATATGTACAAAATGGAAAATGTTCGAGCACACTTTCTCATATGTAGTTATTTATCGTGTATTGTTATTTATGTTTCTTCATTGAATTAGATTTATATGTATTTATTTGGTGTTGTGAACTGACCAAAATGTGTAATAATGGGGAATTATTTTACAGCATCGATTCCAAATCATAGTGTTGCAAAAACTGTCTTTTAAAATTTATAGTGATACTAATAATATTACCGATTCGTTATTATTAATTAGTTTTCCAGTTATTATATATTAGTTAAGGGCATCTGATGGTTATCCCGAGTAAAACAAAGATTTGATTGATGGAGTGCGCTAACGAAGAACCCTTGTACACCACTACTCACGCAGGTATTGTGACGTCAAAAACAGCTGACCACCACAAATCAGCTGTTCGATATTATCATATTGTTTGCTATGTATTTGTTATTTATTACTAGAATGGGTGGTGGTATATTTGGTGTAAATCGTAAAAGGGTTAATCTGAAAATTTAAAATTGTGGGAACGATCTCAACAAAATAGTTATGGATATAATTTTTATGAGAAAAGAATAAAATATAAAACTGCATTTGAACTTGAGTCGAGGTTTATTCCTTAGACTCAAAGCGCCTGCAGACCGGAACTTACAACCCACACGACTTGAATGTAAAGCGGTGAGCAGATGATTGTTCAAAGGAAGTACACATTTCCTCTCGGCAAAGTTTCAATAATGTGATTAAGTTAAATTGAAAATTAAACAACCAATCGGATGACAGAGTGTAAGGATTTCAGTATATAAGAATATTTTTAGTTATATATAAATGGGTAAATATTCATTGGTTTTAGTTTTGTAAAAAGTTAACGTTTTACATACCTTTCAATAACTAAAAGATCTTTGGTTTTTTAGAGTGCAACATAATGTGTATGTATGATAAAAAAAATAAAAATTTACAAACGACAGACCGAGTTGCAATATACTTTGTCGGTTAGCTATTGCATGCAATGCAACAATGCACTGCATCTGTTGCAACATGGCAATCTAGCTTGGATCAAATCCTTGAAAAGACGACCTACTTTGTAAACAATTAATTTCCACGGCCTTAGAAGTGCTTTAATGACATTGTTATACAGGTGGCGACGCGATCGCGGAGGCAGTGGAAGTGGCGAAGATCATCTTGATGTATGTGGCAGTGGATCCCGTTTCCCCTTCATCTTAACCGCATTAAGTTCAAAGCAAGGGATTTCTTCGGTGTTGAATTCGTTATGTTTTGAACCACTAAGGACTTAGCAAAAGGACCTTTGGAGTTTGGGGTAAAAATATGAAATGTAAAAGAGAGATTAATTACTGGTACGTTGTTTATCTTTAAGGTAGACTAGACATGTTTAGTGTTTCAATTGTAATTGAAATTTTAATGTGTAGAATAGTGTAAAGTAATATTAGATCATGTTTGTATATTCATTCAGTAGCAATGCAAATAGGGAAGTATTGCAACACGCTTATCTTGATGGCAGTACGTGTGGAACGGTCAGTTTGTTTAGTGACAATAATTAGACTATGGACTTTCACTCTGACTTTCTCAAATTCCATTATTAATTGTCAGACCCTGTGTGTAAGCCAGAGGCTAGACAATAGATTCGCCACATAATGTGAGGAAATAGCTCATGTATAATATAGGTAGTAAATAATTATATTTGGTTTGGATATCTAAAGGTAAATATTTTTAGTGATGCCAATAAAGATAAGTGTGGTAAGGCATTTGATACCGAATGGTCACTTTACATAAGCAATTCAATCACAAATCTGTCCGATAAAACGTCATACTAGTCATACAATGTGATAAACCGGTCACATCACTTTACACAAGTGATTATGATTAATTAAGCAGTGGTCAGCTGTTAGCCTCGCAACACTTTGGCCAGGTGATCAGCTGTTTCAGGGTTGACCGGCTTCTGCTCGCCTTGATGCGCCAAGGTGAACTGTGGTAATTAAGAACAAATTGAAAGACACTCCTTTTTGGAACGTTAATAAACGTGAATTGTTTTGTGATACGTTGTCTTCGATCTAATGAGTGTTTGTTAAATGTCTATTTTTATGATTCACAAGTTCAAATGCTGCATGGATCTCTCTGAAATTTATTGTTAGGCAAATATCGATTGTTTTGTTAATTAATCTCATTTTAGGCACCTAGATATTTGTCTAGTTAGTGAATTCAAACTCTCAAAGTAAATGCAATACAATGTTACACTAAGTGTGAGCGACATTTCGCATAGTTGCTCCGACAGTTGTCAAGTGCCCAAGGCCGCGACCCTGAAGCACACCCGGAATGCACCTGGCTACTTCTTAAATAACCAGAAACCACTTGTTGCAGCGCGATATGCCGTTACCACAAACCACGCCTTGATCACCTGCCAGCGTTAGTGTTTTGCAAGATTACGTAACAAAGGTGTTTCTATTGTGTATTTTATGCAATGGTCGCCGAGGATGTTTTATAACACAAGTTCTGTATATTTTTTTACCAAGGTCAATATATACTGAACAAATTGGATACTATTCCCTAATTTGTTTTTGCATATTTACTCAATTTTTTCGACTGATTAAGACAGAAATGTAACACGATTCAACTTTTAAAACTTGAAATATTTTGAAATCAAGGATTAATAAGTATGTCCACTATGGCTTGTCACTCTGGATTTTTAGGTATAAAAAACATCAACAATATTTTAATGCAACAAAAACATTCTTCAACGGATGCATGTGTTCGATACACCAATTATTTAGCACCTTTACGAGCTACGGTGAGTTTCCAACAAGAGTTGACAGTTTTTGCGCCCAATACCCAAGTGACAACCTACAGCTCTCATACTAATAGGTTCGTACCTCTATGTGAGGAGTCGAACACCAGATTCCACAGTTGAACAGATTTAAGCACGACGTGGCCGGAGGCTTGTCCTGGGGGGGAAGTCGCTCCAGAGGCCACTCCCTGAGGAACCTCTGCTCGGCTGCCTGGAACACCGGGTCTGGGAGCGGGTGGACCATGGGTGGTCACCCAGGGTCCTCCGGAAGGCAGTGCGGCAGCAGAGGCAAGGAGTGCGTGTGACCCACCCCAGGACTTTACGTTTCGATAGCTCATATTTTGGAGGGAGATTTTAAGCAAACTAAATATTTGGAGGGAAATTTGAAGCGCACTCAATATTTTTAGGGAAATATTTAGACTACTCGTTTGCTGTTGGAATGAGTGTTGGAATAATTTTTAGTTGAGAATGAATATGTATTAAGTTTTGTTATATACCTAGACATATATGGATCATTTTAATCAAAGTGTTGTATAGGAATAACAAATGTAGGTAAAGTGTGGCAAAAGTCAATGTTCATGAATGAAGTGCAGACTAACTACCATAGTTTGTTTGCTAGATGCTTACATTATTGAATATCTTTAGTTTTACTAACCCAAAACTTGAAACTAAAAATTCGGACGATAAAAAAGAAATTAACTGTTATGTATACAAATACACCTTTTATGAGTTCATATTTAGTCTTACTGGTTTACTGATTTCGACAGACATATTATGCATATTTATCTACAATGTTGAATTACGACCCCTTATAAACGGATCGCCATAAGCTTAAAAGCTTAAAGCCGTTCTAAATCAAAATCTAATGTTCTCTATGGTCATTGTGCGGCTACTAGCTACTTCTAGGTGCAAGTATGGCTATCTAACATGCACTCACGTGAAAAACTTATTGGAACTAAAAATTGTGTGAATTTTTGATGCAATAAAAAAACAGTATTATTTTAGGAACAGAATCTGTCGTTGTTCGTTTGGTGAACTGTAAATATTGTAATGATTTGTTTTGAGCTCACCTAGGGTATTTTTAAGTGTTATAATTTATTTACTTTCCACTTTGTTAGTTTATATCCTAATTTTACAGTTTACTTAGTCCGAACAAGTGTTATATTGATGAATTAGTACGTTGTTGATTACACAAATTCGATGAAATATAAGTTTTTAAATATTTGTCATTTGGGTTAAGCTTTTACCTGATCACGTGATCATTGTAGACTTGTATTTCCCATTCTTTGTTTACAAACTAGTGGCAAACCTATCAATTCACCTGCAGGCTTCCTATTCTGTCACCTCCAGCGTTTATTTTATATTTTTGGAACAACCAACATAAACATATTTTTGCAACAAGGGGACCTACGTGACGAAAGGTTAGGTTTAGTTTAGAGTAGTTTAAGAGCTTTCCTAGCAAATCGCCAGGAGCCCTTGGCGACCTTGTATTGTACATCGGAATGTCAGGAATTTGACCAAGACCTGCAGTAGCTTGTATTGATGATAGTTTGGTTTGCTTTTCTCTACACATTGTGTTCAATACGAATACTGTTAAACTTTAAATAGATCAAATGTTTTGATTTTACTGAGATTTAGTTTACTTTTCTTACACACTCGTATTATCTTGTTAATGTATATTTAATGATTTTGTTTAATAATAAACACATTTTAAAATGTTATCAGCAATATTTTACACTTCGTGAATTTAAAATGTATTAAGATGTTAGTTCATATCAAATACGTAACTTATTGTTTACATTTTAAAAATTACACATTAATTACCAAATACTTTTGTTTTATATGTAAATACGTTGTTATATAAAACGTTCACGCTTTTAGATGATCATCTGAATTTTTAATGATTTTTAGTATTTATTAAGTTACAAGAGCTACCAGATAATTTTAGGTTCAAAGTATTCAGATTCATAACATAGGCTTAGTCATGTTTTAGGTGTGTATTTTATTTTCTTGAGAATATTTAACTAGTATTCCTATACAATTTCTACGCAAATATGATATTTAAAAAATTGGTAATTCAAAGTTTTATAGAATTATAGTTTACTAGTGTTGATACCAGTAAACAATTCAAAAATATTATTTGTTCATTTAATAAATACAATTTAGTGAGACTAACCTCGATGCTGTATGATTTCTTGATGGCGAACATCTCCCTGTTCTTCTGTGCTGCTGCTACGGCCATCATCTTGACTGGATGTGTGGGGGCTTTGGAAGGGTTGGTGTAAATGGGGTGGTGACTTAACACACGAAAAGCTCCAAACTCCAGACCGGAAAGTTTCACAGGACGACGCGACTCACGCTACGACGACTTTGTCTTTTCAAAACTGCGAGACTTCTCAAGCCGACTTTCTCGAAGAGAACTCTAGGCTGAACGTTCGAAAAATCGAAAAATTACAAAGTTGATGCGTCGAAAGCGCGCTCGCGGTTGCAGACTTGATCTGACTGTGCTGATGATAGGCGCGCTAGGGTATATATGAGCGCGGCCCTCCCCCACCCCCTCGCACGGAGAAATTGTGGCCTTGGCGGATTTTCCGAGGTGAGTCAGGAGAAGCCAGCGTACTATCAGTGTTATCTCTTCGCTAGACCGAGTGTCTTCCCCACCACGCGTTTCATTTGGCGTTTTGTTTTCATTTTGTCGTGTGTCAATAACTTTGGAGTTTTAGGAGGATTCATAGGTTATATTTTTAAGGTGTTGATGTTTTCGAATGGTGATTAAGTGGTGTGTTGGTTGTGTTGGGCAAAATTATATTGCGTGTTTACTGGTAGAAAATTTTTTTCAGATTATATTAACAAATTTTATAAGTTTAAATCTGTGTGAAATTAAAATATATTCTGACATTACATAAACTGTTTAGGATTTCACTAGTATTTCAATTTAGAGTTTATATATTTTAGGTAACATGCTTTAAATCTAATATGAATTCAAACAAACAGCTAAATCATTTATATATTTCAAATAAATTACAATATACAGTATTTATATAAACAATATTGCAATATTAAAAATAAAATCTCTGTTTGGAAATTAATCTCAGGCAAATATATGAAATAATTCATATTTTTATACTTTAGTAAAATTGAAGGTAACTATAGTATTATTATTAATTTAGAGGATCGGCCTGTAAAAAATTACATTTTATTAAAAACTTTGTGCGATTTTTCAAAACATAACATTTTTGTTTATTTTTACCTTATTAATATTTTACAAATTATAGTTACATTTTGCTATTTTTATTTGCTATGCGGTAAAATTCGACAAACCGTTTGTAGGATAGTTTTTTTTAATTATTTTAGAATTAAAATTAAATAACATGTTTTAAATATAATATAGAATAGTCATTTAAACCTGAAATAAATTATTTAAGTTGTTTTTCAACATACTTAGTCAAAAATATTGTTTAGTTTTGTATTTCACCACCTTTTGCGTTGTAACTTGTTATTATTGTTAAACCTGTAAAGTAGCTATTTTATTGAGAACTCAAAAGGATTTTTGACCCTTTTAAATTTTAAAAGTATATGGCATTAAACTTTTTGCCGAACCTTAAAAAAAATGTATTTGATACACATTACATTGCTCATAAAACCATGTTACCTAGTAAAATTTTGTATGCGATAATCTTGGAAAAGTTTTTCTAAAATGATAGGTCTTATAGTCAAAACTTTTAATACGTTTATAAAAAACTTAAATCTTAGATATTCAAGGTAAGAGGATAATTTTTGAACTCAGTGGATATTTAACATGTAAACCTTATCACAATTTACAGATTTTCTAGTTTGTACACAACTTGTATATAAATATTTTAAAACTCTAGCTTGCATGTTAACTTTCCAATTAGCACGTATTAGCACTTGTATTCCAAAGTTCAATTAGTCAAGATAGTAAGTTTACTAAATAAACTAATATTTCTTGCCTGTTTCAGCTAAACCTATTTTGTATTTATCATTTGTTTGGGATATATCACTAAAAGACAAAAAAATGTGTTAAAACATTTTATTTGTAATTTAATTAATCAAGTTTTACTCCTTCAAAGGGGACTTGTCGTCATAAACTATATGCATAAATACAAAATAAACAGTTTTTAAATGTTTTAATGTCTCTTATGTGTTTATCAAAAGCTAATTTAAAATAAAATAGTTCTAAAATACACTAAAACCCTCAAATTAAAATTTATAACAACTTAAAATTTATGTTATTGGTAGTCAACACGCAATACATAGGGACTTCAATCTTTTAGGTTGTCATGAGCAATTCCCAAGTTTCTTTTATATAATCTTGAATTTCCTCTCGAAATATATTCTTTGCGAAATCAGAAGAGTAAATATACTCTATGAAATTTCGGAGAAATCCCAAAATTGTCAGTTTACACATTTTAGGATAATCAATACATAACATGCATCTTCAAACTGTAATCTTTCCCTTTCGCTCTTTTTCCGCTTTGTTAAGATTAACGCACCAGAATGAGGAAATGTCAATCTTAACAAAGATCAGTTAAATGCAATGTCTACGAACACAACGCAGCTCAATACAACCAGAGGAAAACCCAGGAGGAAACTCGTCCAGGAAAATGATTTACTACGAGATCGCTCACGTGCGAAAACCGGCCCCGAGCAAAAAAGGAAAACGAGAAATAATCCTTGATTTATGGCTCAAATTCTTCAGTGGATACTTTACATTTTTAATAAATAATGCTAGTTAAGTGTCTTCAACCTTTGCCCTTCTTAACCATTACGTCTCGCCGAAACTCGTTTCGCAAATACTCAGATGCTGACGTCGTATTAGATATTGACGTCATTTCAACTGTGGTTTGGATTTTGTGTTGTAGGTCTTCGAAAAGAATTAATCGAACCTTAACAAGTATCGCATATTAAGTTTAGTGTATACCAAGTTTAGAAATTATTTAAAATAGAAAAAAATAATTTTTGTTAGGTGTTTTTACTTAAACTGTAGTTTTAAATCAATTTTTACCCATTTTAAAGCTAATTTTAAACTGTTATAAATTGTACAATTCTGACTATCTGACTGTTAGTAAAGTTGGTCTTTAGTAATGTTTAAAAAAGAGTTTAATTAGAGTTTGTATAAAAACGTATATGTCATCTGCAACTATACTGAGAACTGAAATATATAATGTGTCATTATCATTACAATTACATTGAGGCAGGAGTGAAATGCTGGGTATTTTAACCTAAATCACTGTAAAGAGTGAATTTAGAATTAAGGGAGCCTTGAGCAGCTGTTTTACTAACTAAGATCAGCTGTTTATTTAGCCAGAACCGTTTATTAGACGTAAAATGATTAATGATAGACTTTGAAAAAGCTGCCAGTTATTCTAGGATTGGACTGACAACCTTTATTATAAATTTGAGATGGGGACACCACCTAACATAGGTGCGTATTTTAACCCAAATATGAGTGTAGAATAAGTGTAAAATGGATTGAGGTGATCTTATGGCTTTGTTAATGACTAATATAAGATCAGCTGTTCAATTAGCCATGATCATTTTGAATAGGGACAGCTGGGTCTAGTTTAGATGTTTCGAACTACCAAAAAGGTACCAAATTTTCTCAAGATCGATCCGGCCTTTAATATTGTTAGGCGAGCACTATAACCACTCAGCTACCCAGCCAATTCGTACTTAGCTATTATTCTATACATCACATTTCCACCGAAAATTAAAATTCTATTAACACTGCTTTTAAATTATAACCAGTACACTTTTATTTCATGTTAAAGATTTTGTAGGCTATTCAAAACATTTATACAACCTAAATATTATTACACCAATTTTCTGTAGAAACTGACAATTTGACACTTTCATCTGGTAAAATACGATTCTAGAACAGATCCAACGGAAGGTTACATGTATACAATCACACCTCAAGGAAACTGTTGAGAAGATAGTATCACATCTATTAGTATCACATTAGGTTGGGGATTGTGGCCAGCTGTGTAGTCCCACAAGGTAAATAACCTTTGTCTATGAATGACATAATAATGTTCGGTGAAGTTATAAATAGATTTACAGTTAGTTCTAGAATCCAGGTGTCATTTCGACCACATGCAATGTTTCGTCATTGCTTATATCCTCAGTAAAAGAGAGAAAAACTGTGTTTACTCCATTAAAATAAATTCTCTTGGGTTAAGAGTCTCCATAATTTTTCAATGTTTTACAATCATTTTGTGGCATTGTTTTGCAAAGGACTTCATGTCATATTGTCAAAAAATGTAGGCCCTACAATAGGTGGATATCAGTAAATTTAGATAATAAAATGAATACAAATAGAATGAGAAATAAATGTAAAGTTTTGAATAGGATGAGAATGGTTTCAAACAGGGAAATGAAAAACACTTTATGCTAACTCAATGAACTGTAATCTTCTTGTGTTTGCCGATTGAAACATTTACCAATGGGCATTAGGTATTCAATCGGCATTAAACAACTCACTAAATACTGTGGCATATTCATGTAAAATAAATGGAAAAACTCTTAAAATTATTATTTGGTAAATTACGATTGTACTGACTTCGAAACAAATCAAAATTTTCCGTCGAAAACTAATTTATAATATCCTGCATTACTACTATTACTATTTATAATGTAATTGTTGTAGCCGGCAATTGCACAATTGTATTCTTCAGTATTTACTTGTAATATACATTCCACTATTATTATTTAAAATCTAATATTTAGGAGTACCAAAATCCTTTGCTGAAGTTAACGACCATCCACTGAGATCACAGCTGCATCTCAAGGCATTAATGGACATTACACCTTGTATTAATGGGTGAGATGCAATGGTCCATTACCATTACCCATTGCCCATTAGTCAACGGCCCCGACCTTGGGCATTTTGAAGGGACAATGGCTCACGAATACGGATATCGTGGTTTTCTCCTGATCTGACCTATTGGCGACCTTCGATTGACCTTGAGGGTTAACCAGTACTTTAGTGCACTATCGATGCATATCAATAATCGTGTTAGTTTCCTGTTATTGAACGATAATCGGCGAGTTCCTGTGTGGCACCTACATCATAGATCATCTTGTTGCTACTGGAGTTGGACTTACTTAACAGATTTATACCGGGTAAATTTATAAGTTGAAGAAAGTAGATATGATTAGATGTTTACAACGCCGGGTAGAAGATGACTAAAGGAAGAGTGTTGAAAGAATGGGATGTCAACTTTGTTACTAATCAGCTGGTTCTTGAATCATGATCATAATTACAAACTAAGGACATGTGGGTCAGTTCGAAATTCGAATCAACACAAAACTACTAATAATCCTACTAATCCTGCTAATCTACACAAATTAACAAGTTTCAGGGGGAAATACATTATTATAATTTTTCCTACAGCCACCCGACAAAGTGGGCTTCCTTGCGCAGATTATGGTACTTACAAGCCTTACTTTGGCGCACAGTTTTTACTTTGGGGCACACCAGTATTCCAAGAAAACAA